GCATGGGGCAGTTGCCACCTCATGCCACCCCGGTAGATCCGCCCCTGCCTAGGCGAGATTATGATTTGGCTTTCATCACTTACAGCGCACATCGTACAGGGCAAATGCAAAATGTTGCGGGCCCGGGGTGTAAAGGGTGTTTACTTTATTCAATTATTAATGTAAATGTATTACATCAAGGGCAGAAAATTAGGGTGCAGGGGTGCACATAACTGGTATGCATGCGTGGTAAAAATCTGAAATGCGTACCGCCACTTGTGTCACAAAGCGTATTTGCGTACCGACGTACTTGTGAAGCTTTTCTAGAAGGCGGTTAGATCACCGGACGACAGAGTTTGTCTCCGTGTGTACAGACGGGGCTGCTGTTAACGTCGGTTGGTACAACGGAATTGTGCCAAAACGACCCCCCCCCCCCTTCTGTGCACACACTGGAGAACTGCGCAAAAAAAGCTGATCACAACGTTCACGCTCTGTGGTCAGAAAGTACTCCAGCACTAGCAACCCATGAAATATGGGCGAGCTGGCAGTGCAGTCTGTAACTAGTTGTCATTTAACATTTTAAGACCCTACCCTTGAATTTGTCAAATCAAATTTAAGTATTGTATTTTGTCTTTTGAATTTAGATTATTTTGTTACATATACTGTTTCCAAAGCTCAAGAATAAACGTACATGCTCTAAACTCATTTGAATTGTATTTGAAGCAGTACTGGGTCTTTATGGCTTCACTCCTTTATATTAGCGTTGCAGGGTTAAAAATCCAACTCTTTTTTTTCCACTTCAGAGAGTCCTCGCCTCTGAAACACAAATTGCGCTCTAATTGGCTTTAGATGGCTCCACATAAACCAAAAGTCGTGTGAAGCTGTAATAACTAGAATAAATTAAGTTTATAACCTTCTTCCCACAAATTACTTGATTAAAAACCCCCATATAATGAGTCAAAAACAGACAAAACATTTTTTTTTCTGAGAAGAAAGTAAGATTTGTTGTTCTGAGTCCCTCATGTGGCCCTAATCCTCTTCCGTAGATATGCCTCTCATCCTCAAATAATAGCTAGCCTCTGTGTTGGTTTTTCAAGTTGCTGATGTATTTTTATAGAACACAAATCAACAGGAAAATACTAAGTTAAATATCTTAATACAAGGGAAAAAACTAGCTCTGCCCTACATTAACTTACATTATTGTCCAAAAAAGCGAAATCTAGCCATGAAATGCTAGTCCTAATCACCTTTGGTAGGATTCTAGTATATTAAGACGTGAAAGGCAGATCTTTGACTAATTCACAGACATAATGTTAATTGGCTATCTACGGCTAACGAGATCTGCCAACAACTGTTTTTAATTAAAGCCAAATTCATAAAATTCAAAGGGTGAAATGATGTCTACTTGTGTCTGAATTCAAAGACACTATGTTTCAGAAATATGCAGGGTATTTTGAGTGATATATACCTGCCACTGTAATGAATATAAACTCACACTGCTGTGCTAGGCGTGAGAGGTTGACCGTTATAGGAACTGAACAGACACTGTTACATGAGATGAAGCTCTTCATAACTTAAAAAATGAAAATGAACATTATAAATATAGTTTAATTACATCCTGAAGGTCATAACTGTTTTTGAACAATAGCAGTTCCTTAAATAGAATATGAATATAACAGCATCCAAACCACAAAGAGTTTTCTGAATGACTTGCATTTCTGTAGAGAGCGTGATACAAAAAGCAAGTTCTTAACCAAACCTGGCAGCTATCATTTCAAATAGAAAGTACAATTCAGTTACATTAAACTCACCCATGGAGTGCTGTGTCAGCTGTGTAGCTCCACTGTCTGTGTCATCAGTGTGTGAGCCCTGCAGAACTCGCTTTGCTCAGTTCACTTCCTGGCGTGGCGCTCTAGAGCTACTGTACAGAGTGTCATGACACCCTCCCTTTCACCACAAGAGAAGCTGGCTGCAGCGCTCACACAAACAGACAGGCAGACATACTAACCAGCAAGCCAACATAAAAACATGGCTGAGCAGAACTCCTTATGAACTAAGCAACTTGGCTGCATTTTGGTAGTTGTATTGCTTGAATCCATACCAAAAAATTCAAAATGGTGACAACATGGAGTATCACGTTTCACTGGCTTTGGGACTACAGTCAAGAATTTGATGACTGACTTCCCCTTTACAGTTTAGACGTACCACTCCTTCTGACATCTGGTCAGCAATTATGTAATGAACAGAAACCACACAATAGTTAATCTGCAGCCTGTGTAACCAAGAGTGAGAAAACCCTAAAAAAGTAATGTCTGAATACATGGTAATGCACTGTAATGTTGGATAGCATGTATATGCACAGTATATGTTATATCCTAAGTGGCTTAAATGACAAGTTTGCACTACAGGAAAAGTCATGAGTTCCTCAAAATGGGGTTTATCCTCTTGGGAGCATGAATGTATGCCTTTAAAGTGTACCTGGATTATACTGTGCTGTTTGTCATTTCATTTAGGAAAATATCTTAACAGAAAGTAATGTTTTACATTGGCTGCACTGTGGTTTGTTTGGAACTAAACAAAAGTTATGATTATATTTAGCTAAACGTATTGAATGCAATGTATTTCTTCAAAAATGGTGTTCATGTAATAGCAAAAGTTGTTTCAAATAGTTTAAAAAGGTTTCTAAAAATAAAACTGCGTAAAAGAAAAAAATAGAACAAATAAACTCCACTGCAGCTGCAGCTTTTAAACGCAGATTTTTAAGTGGAAGAGTAAATACAGTAGCACAACTTAAAGCGCACCCACACACGATGCTGTCGGAAACGCCGTGTTTTTGTGTCCTTTATCTTATCTGGCCTTGTTGAAGCATCTCACCACATCTTGAGTCCTTGTTTATACCAACGCTGAACACTGCAGCATTGATGTCTTAACATGGTGCACAATCTACCGGTGTCACTGTTTTGCAAGAGGTTGGACTCAAATGCAGAAAAAGAGGGAGGCAGGCATCAATAAAACTTTTAATTTACCAACGCTGATAACGAAAAATGGAAAACAGGTGGACCAGCAAGGTATAATCAAACCAAGATAAACTGAGCGATTGGATACCAGAAGGCACTTGTAACAGGGAGAGGAACGCGAGGAATCAGGCAGGAACATAGACGACAAACCGAGGGAAGACTGGCACACAAGACTATTTACCAAAAACACGACACAGCTAGGAAAGGCCTGCAAAAACAAAAGGGAAGCAGCCGCAGGAGAAAAGAACAAGAAGACAATAAAACAGGCAGGAAACACAAAGACAGGAACATAATACAATACACGAGGAGAAAAAACATTTCAAAATAAAACCGGATGCAAGATAAGACCAGTATCATGACAACTGGTGCTGAAATGGGTTTCTGCTCAACACTTTGTTGGCTGGAATATTCACTGAAAGCAAGGGATGTGTAAACATACTGAAATATTACGGGAAGAAGCCAGAAGTCACAAAGCAGTAGACAACACATGCAACTCCTCAATACCCAGGCCAGGACACATTGCATTAACCGTCAACTTTAATATGTGATGACCTCCTTTCTGTCCCAAATGCATGGACACCTCTTGCAGGTAATGCAGTATGAGAGCATGAGTGTCTAACATTTGTATAACGCTACTAGGAATCAAACATTGAACAGATAATCGTTAGGCCTACCTGCCAACCCTACCGATTTGGGCGGTAGTCTACCGCTTTTGACATGTTTCTACCGCCTACCGACTTAGCTGGCTTTCCCTACCGATTTTCACTCTTCCCAAACTATAACAAATAAAAATGACACTCCATAGACACTGGACTCAACTTTTGGCGAACACCGTTTGCAGCGTGTCTGTGATCGCATCTTACAAACAGTCCTCTGTGTTTCTGAAAGAGAAACAACGTTCAGATGAAGGGCAGCGTTACCCCCGACGAGGCATTTGAGTCCTGCAGGGTTTCCCCGTTAATATCAGTGTCTCGAAAACACATGTTGGCGACTGAAAGACATGCAGTGTTTGGTCTTTTCCGGAAGCATCCTACAATGTCTCAACTGAAAGAGGACACACACAAAATATAATACCATTTTGAGATTTGGGGATATTTATCTCCCATTCTTTCACTTTTTCTGACATTTTCATGTCTCTGTTTAGTGAACTACAGCAAACTGAAAGCCTGTACATTATTTATATCACACTTTATCAGTAAAAACATGCAGGAAATGACTTATTTAATGCAGTATTTTCTGATTTATGGCGCAACACAAAGATATTTCGCTTTGTGCAAACCTCTGACTCTAATATGTCAACAACATGAAACAAGAATATGAACCTGGCTTTATCCAATGTTCACACAAGAGTTCTACATCCTGACACATCCTTCATCTACACTGTCTCAACTGAAAGAGGACCAGACACACATTAAAAATATAATAAAATGTGGAGACTTTGGGATATTTATCTCCCATTCTTTTACTTTTCGGGCATTTTACAGACCAGACATGTCGTTGATGTCACTGTTTACCAAACTAACACTTTTTCTGAAAAATGCATAAAATGATGCAATATATGTTAAATACATGGTTTATACATGTAATTACTGGGGTTCCATTTCTTCTGATTACCTAATTTGGGCGTGCACATTTGATGCGCGCAAACCTACCTCTTTTGGATTTGGAAAGGTTGGCATGTATGGCTCTACCCAGTACAGGTTAGCTCTGAGTGTTAGCGATGCTAATGTAAACATGCACCGACCATGTTACATCCAAAACGGTCGGACATTGTTTCTGATAGCAACGTTTCTGATAGGGCCGTGGGCATAAAGCCAGCCTACATATCCGATATTAAGTCATATCGGACGCAAATCTGGATCAGCTCCGTTGTACCCCCGTTTTTAGAGATTTTAGGGTTTTATTTTCTGACGCTGCGTGAGTTCCCTGACACACCGGTTGCATGATAGGTCCCGTTTAAAACAGAAATAACTATATTTGACTATGGTTTCATACTATTTAGATATGTTTTTCCTTGTGATATTATATTACCAGACAGTTAAAAATTAAATGATCATACATCCATATTCACTGGTGCTGGGTACGGTCGAGTAATTTCCCATGTATTGTAGTCCCCTGACCTTGCTGAATTCCTGACAGTTTTGAACACATTACAGGGCTTGCTCTTGCCCTTCTCCTTGACAATGGGCTAATGAAACCATCTTCTTGTTTCAGCATATTTCCCCGAGAGCTGAAGGAAGTTTTCGCCTCGTGGAGAGCCAGATGTGCCGAGCGTGGCAGAGAGGATCTGGCAGACAGCCTCATCAGCTCCTCCCTGTTTCTTCGCTTCATGTGCCCAGCCATCATGTCCCCCTCCCTGTTCAACCTGATGCAGGAGTACCCCGCTGAGCGCACGTCCCGCACACTCACGCTCATAGCCAAGGTGATGCAGAACCTGGCCAGCTTCAGCAAGTGAGTCCCCGTCAACGCCTCTCCTTGTATCTACATACATTTGATTCAGTTCAGTTTTAGACATCGATACGGTGACGCTTGTGCGAGGTGGGATGCCTGTCACAGAGTAACATCCCAGAAATAAAGGCTTGCGGTTTTGACTGTGAGGGTATAAACTGTTATTCACCCACAGTGAGCTCCAAGGCTTTTAGCTGTGTCACATTGGTCTCTACAGTCATCGTGTGCTTCGTACTGACATTTCTCTGAATACTTAAAGGTCACCTATTATCCAAAATCCACTTTTTCATGTATTTTATAGACAAATATGTCCCCTCTGTGTAAATACATTCTGAAAGTTTCAGGCAAAAAGATTCGCTCACTTTTTGTATCCATTTACAAAATTAGCTCCATTTATTTAAAAACCTGTCTGAAAATGAGCTGGTCAGATTTTGGCAACTTTATGATGTCATAACGATTAAGGGCCATTTCAATTTTTACAACATCCTCCTAGGGCCGTACAAATTATTGAACTCAACCTCTGCTTAAAAAAAACTAAAATCACAGACCGTTCATTTTGTCTTTCTTTCATTCTGTGCAAAGAAAAAGCAACCTCTTAATCCAGATATCTCACCATGACTCGCGTATGCATGCATGTGCAAGGTTGTGGCATGACCACCCAAACAGAAAGATGTGGACACAAGATGTTTGCAAATATGTTTAGTATCCTATCCATGTGAACATGACTTAAGTGGGGGGGGG